TATATATATATATTCCCCATGACCTACCTCGGCCTTGCTTCCATCTCAAATACCGTAAAAACCATCTCGTGGAAGGGATTCGTGTTTTGCGTAATCTTCATGGATGATTTCAAAACATTTAAAGAGACCATATGATACGACGACGGAAACCCAAAAGCAAAAATCCAACACCTTTGTCCCGGTCCCGAAACTTTGACTTAGTTTGGTTTTACTAGTGTTGCTTTGTGTTTTTTGGTTTCGCCCAACGAAACCATGTTGTTTGTGATAGTTGGTGGAAAACGAAGAAAACCAGGAATTTTGCAATTTGAGGCCGGCTTCAACTCTAATTTATTTAAACTGGGGCTCAGAGAACCAACCTTTAGCGCAGCCTCAGAACTTTTAGTTTTGTTGTGTTCCTAGGTTGTTTGGTTTTGCATCAACGGAACCGTGGTTTTTTTAGTTTTCCAACAGAAACCCAACAGACATGCACAGATTCTCTAGGTTAATTGGGTTTTCCACAAAAAGTCAGAAACAACAATGGTTTCGTTTAAACGCAATCCCAAGAACTGGGACCCCCCCCCCCCCGCAAAGGTTTTAGATTTTTGTGGTTTTTTGGTTTCCGCAGCATCAGGACAAAACCAAACATCTAAAATCCACAACCTTTAAGGCAAACTCAGAACTTTTGGATATTTATGTTTTCCTAAGTTCCTTTAGTTTTCGGGTTTCGCATCAACGAAACCAACATTTCTTGGTTTTTCCAACAGAAATCCAAAAAACACACGACGGAGCCTCTCTATGGACTCTGGCAGGCCCAGCAATACCATGGCAACGCCAATCTGGCATGGAGACAGAAGCTAGAAAGTAGATGAATAATTACCCGAAGGGGCCTTTGTCTCTTGAGCATTCTTCAACTGTATTCAGCGTCCCCCTTTGCAAGTAGGGCCTGGAAGCCTGGTGCTGCTGCTGCACGCCGTCCGTGTCGACGAGTGACGAGGGCGTGTAAGGCGGGCCTGGTTCATCGATTCTTTCAAGGCTTATGGAATGCCCATGAAAGCATTGTCAGGTGTCCGGACGTCCTCAGAAGGCGGGTGGCTAATTTCCCGGCCCAATAATTGCTCATTGTTATAAGCTCCAGAATTCGAAATATCCGCATAATAGGTTCAATTCAGGATTCGGGTTTAGTTTAAGGTTACAGGGTTTTGAGCTTATTGCTAGCGAGGGCTTCATCGACGCTTCCGGCAAGTCCTCGCTCTTGCCACTTAGCCGCTCTGGCCTTTAAAGCGGAACCTTTTTGGGGGCGGAACCTCAAGTGTGATTTTGTGTTGCAGGAGCTCGAGACACGGACACAGCAGCTTGCGCGTCTTCGGAGGAAGCCTCGGAGAGCTTGTCTCGGTCGGCTTGCTTCGTCTCTAGCCATGCTCTCCACCTATATGTCGGCTCATAGCTTCAGAGACTGAACTTATGTGGGGGTCAAGCAGAGATTTGAGAGAGTCATCAAGTCTTAAAATCTTCTCGAGCTTCTTATCCCAACATTCCCAACATCCTTCAAACCCCCGGCACGTCCATGAGAAATTCACTCCTTCCTTGCGCGATCCTCCAGGTTGCCAGAGCCCGAGTCAATGCGAGAGGCGTCCCCACGTGAAGGAAGAGCTAACTGAACCGAGGCGGCTGTGGCGTTTTCGGAGCCCGTCTTCGCACAGCAGGCACGGGCTCGGGACTCGGAGAAGTCTTCAACTGCGATTTCCAGAAACTGTTCGGGGTGGGGGGGTTTTCTGCGACTTCCTGCGAACTGTCCGCTGGGGAAAGGGGGTGCCATGTTGCGAAGGTTTTTGTTTTAGACGGTTACACGGCAATAAACAAGGGCAGCCACTTCTCTCGGGCGAGGCCACATATCGATCCGGTTCGATTGGCTGCCAGACGGCGCCACGACTTGTCCGTGTTTTTCCGTGAAGGGGAGAGACTACGAAAGCTAAGCGTCTGCAGAGGATTTGGACGCTCAGGGGCACGCAGAAAGCACGGACAGACCCACCAGCAGCGGAGCAGCGAAACGTCTGTGCGCTAGACTCGATCGCCCACCTCCAAAAAAACCCACGCTCTGCACTGAAAGTCCACCAAACGACCGGAAAGTGGTGCTTGCTTGCAGTGCTTGCCAGGCCTCTCAGGCGCTCCGCTACAGCCAGCCCCGGCCCCGCAGACGAAACTGAAGACTCCAGATTCTCCAAGCTGCCTTCCCTCAAGCCTTGTATTTGCCATGAAGCCAGAAGGGAAGAGGCATGGTGGCAATCGGTCTACGCCAGAGTTGCTGAAGTCGCTGAATCCATGAAGACTCTGTGAGCATAGAAGAAGCTCATGTAGCTCACCCGCACAAACTCGGAGTTGTCTCTTCCACTGTTGCCGCAATTCCGAGGAAGCAGGGTGCAGCGGGTACAGAGGTCGTTGATCAGTCCGCCAGTGTCGATTTGATCAAGGGACAGACTCAGTGAGTATATTATCCTTCGATTGCCTTTCAGTGCTTCGTCCAACGCGCGTGTTTCTCAAAAGCTCACCGCTGGGAGTCTGGAGACTCTGCAAGTGCTGCAATGGAGAGGTTGGTTGTGTGGATCAAATCCAGAAGCTCGGTTTTTTGTTGGGCTGCGTGTCTTAGAGCCTTCTAAGAGCGCAGCCTTTGCCGGAGGCCTGTGATGACGCCTCCCTGTTGCAAAGGACAGGGCGGGAATTAGCCCAGGCCCAGGCCCCTGCTCCATGGCTCTGCCTCTTGGTTTTCTGTTGGTCGTCAGAGGACGCAGA